CCACCACCACCACGACCACCACCACGACCACCCCCACCACCACCACGACCACCACCACCACGACCACCACCACCACGACCACCACCACCACGACCACCACCACGACCACCACCACCACGACCACCACCACCACGACCACCACCACCACCACGACCACCACCACCACGACCACCACCACCACGACCACCACCACCACGACCACCACCACCACGACCACCACCACGACCACCACCACACCACGACCACCACCACGACCACCACCACCACGACCACCACCACCACCACGACCACCACCACGACCACCACGACCACACCACCACGACCACCACCACGACCACCACCACCACGACCACCACCACCACGACCACCACCACGACCCACCACCACCACGACCACCACCACCACCACCACGACCACCACCACCACGACCACCACCACCACGACCACCACCACGACCACCACCACCACGACCACCACCACCACGACCACCCACCACGACCACCACCACGACCACCACCACCACGACCACCACCACCCGACCACCACCACGACCACCACCACACCACCACGACCACCACCACCCGACCACCACCACGACCACCACCACGACCACCACCACGACCACCACCACCACGACCACCACACCACCACCACGACCACCACCACCACCACCACGACCACCACCACCCGACCACCACCACCACGACCACCACCACCACGACCACCACCACCACGACCACCACCACGACCACCACCACACGACCACCACCACCACACGACCACCACCACCACGACCACCACCACCACGACCACCACCACGACCACCACCACCACGACCACCACCACCACGACCACCACCACCACCACCACGACCACCACCACGACCACCACCACCACCACCACGACCACCACCACCACCACCACCACCACGACCACCACCACCACCACCACGACCACCACCACGACCACCACCGCCACCACGACCACCACCACCACCACCATGACCACCACCACCACCACGACCACCACCACCACGACCACCACCACCACGACCATCACCACCACGACCACCACCACCACAGAGTGTGTGTGGGAGGGGGGGCACTCCTTGACAATGAGCCACCTGAGTTCAGTCCCAGGTCAGGGTCGATGCCGTTCCGCGATTGGGGTGAAAACATTTTTGGAGCTCGCGGACGTATCAGTGGTGGTATCAGCAGCGGTGGCGTCAGCGGTGGTATCAGTGGTGGTATCAGCGGTAGTATCAGTGGTAGTATCAGCAGCGTCAGCAGCGGTGGCGTCAGCAGTAGTATCAGCAGCGTCAGCAGCGGTGGTGTCAGCAGTAGTATCAGCAGTAATGTCAGCAGCAGTAGTATCAGCAGTAGTATCAGCAGTAGTGTCTGCAGTAGTAGAATGAGCAGTAGTAGTATCAGCAATAGTATCAGCAGTAGTAGTATCAGCAGTAGTAGAATGAGCAGTAGTAGTATCAGCAGTAGTGTCAGCAGCAGTGTCAGCAGCAGTAGTATCAGCAGCAGTAGTATCAGCAGTAGTAGTATCAGCAGCAGTAGTAGAATGAGCAGTAGTATCAGCAGCAGTAGTATCAGCAGCAGTAGTAGAATGAGCAGTAGTTTCAGCAGCAGTAGTATCAGCAGCAGTAGTAGAATGAGCAGTAGTTTCAGCAGCAGTAGTATCAGCAGCAGTAGTAGAATGAGCAGTAGTTTCAGCAGCAGTAGTAGTATCAGCAGTAGTATCAGCAGCAGTAGTAGAATGAGCAGCAGTAGTTTCAGCAGCAGTAGTATCAGCAGCAGTAGTAGAATGAGCAGTAGTTTCAGCAGCAGTAGTAGTATCAGCAGTAGTATCAGCAGCAGTAGTGCCAGCAACAGTGCCATCAGCGGTGGTGGTATTGATGATGTGTGTTGGTGTTCATTCACCTGCAATGGGCAGGTTTCCCGTCTGTACGATCCTCTCTTCTCCGTGTGTAATCTGCACACGCACAGCACACAGCACACACACAACACACACACAACACACACACAACACACACACAACACACACACACAGCACACACAACACACACAGCACACACACACAACACACGCACAACACACACAACACACACACAACACACACACAACACACACACAACACACACACACAGCACACACAACACACACAGCACACACACACAACACACACACAACACACACACAACACACACACAACACACACACACAGCACACAACACACACAGCACACACACACAACACACGCACAACACACGCACAACACACACAGCACACACACAACACACACACAACACACACACAACACACACACCACACACACAACACACACAGCACACACACACAACACACACAACACACACACAACACACACAACACACACACAGCACACACACAGCACACACACAACACACACAACACACACACAACACACACAGCACACACACAACACACACAACACACACACAGCACACACACAACACACACAACACACACCACACACACAACACACACACAGCACACACAACACACACACAACACACACACAACACACACAGCACACACAGCACACACACAGCACACACAACACAGCACACACACAACACACACAGCACACACACAACACACACACAACACACACAGCACACACAGCACACACACACCACACACACAACACACACAGCACACACACACAACACACACACAACACACACAGCACACACCACACACACAACACACAGAACACACACAACACACACACACAACACACACAAACACACACAACACACACAACACACACAGCACACACCACACACACAACACACAGCACACACACACCACACACACAACACACACAGCACACACACACAACACACACAACACACAGCACACACACACCACACACACAACACACACACACCACACACACAACACACACACAGCACACACAACACAGCACACACACAACACACACAGCACACACACAACACACACACAACACACACAGCACACACAGCACACACACACAACACACACACCACACACAACACACACACAACACACACACAACACACACACAACACACACACCACACACACAACACACAGACAGTACAATGTCATTTATTTCCATGGTGGGGGAGAGATGGAGGGGGAGGAGTGGCGCCTTTGCCGCTTCCCGCTGACGATGGCGGTTCGAACCCAGCGGCCGCCCCGGTTAATCCAGCGGACGTCAAACATCACGTGACAGCAGGGCTCGTGGCAAGGCCAAGAGGCGCTTTGAGGCTGTAGCGTGACGCGCGCGAACAGCTCGCTGCCGGCCGGAGGTCACGGGACAGACCCCGGGTGCTACGGGTTGACCGCTTACGATGATTGGCAGAATCACAGTCCACCAACGACAACCGCCATTCGCCGCTAAGTGGCGGTGACGTCACCACGACGCTTGTGCCAGGCTATGTGCACGTCGAGGCCACGTGAAGTGTCGAACGCCCGCTGGCAGGAGGTCACGGGGCAGACGCAGACACGACGATGACGACACACACATCAGTACCTTTGTGATTTTGTTGAGCTGCTGATGCTGATAATGCTGATGATGATGTTGCTGCTGCTGCTGACGATGCTGCTGCTGCTGATGATTATGCTGATGCTCCTGTTGCCCTCTCCTGCTGCCCACACTCTCTCCGCTGCCCGAGCTTCTGCTGCTGCCCATACTGCTGCAATCGCCGACCGGCGCATCTGGGAGATAAAAGAAAAACACGTGAAGAATGAAACGTAACAAGTGCAAATCGTAGCCACGAAGTGCACGTGGTACCGGTGCAGGCAATCGTATATCAGTCGATCAAACTGTATTTGGTACAGCGTCCTCCACAACAACATCGTCACGCAGACACACTTCACACGTAAACATAGTAACGACATAGCAACGACAGACCTGGTCTTCACCTGAGGACGGCTGCTTGCGTTGTGGCCAAAACGTCGTGAGAATTGTATTTTATTATGTTTTATTTTTATCATTTTATTACTTCCCTTCTACGTCACTTTACCGAAAGAACCAAGAAGATGAATCCCTGCAGTCACGAAAGCTTTAAATCGAAAATTAAACATAGCAACGTTACACCATTGCCATTTCAAATGCACACAACAAAACAGGCAAGTCCTGGACTTACGAACACCGACACTTACGAATATCCGACATACGAACACCCAACTCACGAACACTCAACACTCACGAACACCCAACTCACGAACACCCACACTTACGAACACCAAAATAATGAACACCCACACTTACATACACCCTACTTACGAACACTCACACTTACGAACACCCAACTCACGAACACCCGACATAGGGGCTGTTCATAAATGACGTCACGCACCTAAGGGGGGTGGCGGTCAGACATTTGTGACGATGTGTGACGATGGGGGGGGGGGGGGGAGGTTTGATAAATGTGACGTAACATCAAAATGCGCAACTTTAAATGAATATAGAATTCATCTTCTTGGTTCTTTCGGTAAAGTCACGCAGAAGGGAAATAATAAAATAATAAAAATAAAACATAATAAAATAATATAATAAAATATGAATATAAAAGATTTTATTATTATTTTATTATTTCCCTTCTACGTGACTTTACCGAAAGAACCAAGAAGATGAATCCCTGCAGTCACGAAAGCTCTAAATCGGAATATAGAATTGTTATAACACTCCTACAACATCAGAGTGCAGCGCCAGATTAAATTTTGTGACGCCGTGTGACGAGGGGGGGGGGGGTCAAAAATCGCGTGACGTTATTTATGGACGGGCCCTTTACGAACGCCAACAGTCTGTGGAGGCGATACGGGGGGATCTTTGTCGTTTTGTGTGTTTTACCACCGGCATTGTATCCCCAGACGAGGTCCCTTGAGCCTCCGCACACTGTCTGGGCCTTGTGAAAATCCAGGGCGTCTGTCAAGAAGGTGACATCAACACAAACGATGCACCACCATCACCACCATCACCACCATCACCGCCACCACCACCATCACCGCCACCACCACCGTCACCACCATCACCACCACCGTTACCGCCACCGCCACCATCACCACCATCACCACCACCGTCACCGCCACCATCACCGTCACTACCACCGCCACCACCGTCACCGCCACCATCACGTCACCACCACCACCACCACCGTCACCGCCACCATCACCACCATCACCACCACCGTCACCGCCACCATCACCACCATCACCACCACCGTCACCGCCACCATCACCGTCACTACCACCGCCACCACCGTCACCGCCACCATCACGTCACCACCACCACCACCACCGTCACCGCCACCATCACCGTCACCCATCGTCGTAGTCATGATAACACTGGTCAACAACAAAAAAACATTTTTTTCTGGCCTGGACTTTTGCAGCTGTTCTAGACTAATTTCAGGGTGCTGGTTCCAAATCTGATCTCAGATTTGCTCTATCACATCTCATTTTATGCTATCGGCATACCCCATTTTCATTGATTTTACCCGAAATTAACTCTGTCACTTATGATTGCAAGTTGTTGCGAGTCAGTGACTGCTTTAGTGTTAAAATATGGTGCTGTATTTTTAGGATAGTGTGTTTATAATAGCATTTTATGTAGATATCCACATTTATTTAATATTTTTCTTCTGCAGTTTTTATTGAAAATGCAATATTTGATATCTCAAAAAACTGCCAGATTTGGAATAAGCACCCCAAAGTTATCTTAAAACCGTTGGAATACCTTATGCCAGAAAAAGTGTGTTGACCAGTGTAATAAAAGCGATGATTGACATTTGCAAAGTGCATTCCATTCGTATACCCCCATGCTCCGTGCATGTGTAGAGGTGTTACGGAGGGCAAACAAACACACTGGGCGTGGTTATGCCCGTACGCCGAGAAGTGCTTACATCCACGTCCGCACCGTTCAGCCTGGGGGGCTGACACGGAGCTGGGATCCCCCGCGGCCCCACCCCTCAGTGGGAGAGTTGCTATATAAGGCGGTGAGCCGGAGGGCTCGGCGTTCAGTGTTCAGCCTTAACCAGTGAAGAGAGAAGACCGGCTAGATAGGCCCTGGGACTCCCCTGGATCGCTGTCCTTCTCAGGGCCGACCAGGGCAAGCCAGTGGCGTGGCCCCGAGAGCCCAGAGCCGATGCTCTTGTCAGAGCCAGTCTGGGGACTCAGGGTGCCGTAATCCCAGCTTAACCAGAGCTGGGTTAGCTAGCCTCCCCTAGCCCGGTAGTGGAGGACCTAGGAGTAGGCTAGCCGTGACATAGAGGGTTGATCTCCCAGTTAGACGGGTGAAGGGGCCGATACCCCTTCGAGTGTTGTACATCTCGGCCTGTTATGTACTTTGTGCTTAATAAATAAGTGTGCCTCCAACTGCGTCGTCCAAGTCTCCTGGAACCTACTACACATGGAAAGCGGGAAATGAGGTGTGAGTCGGCCAGAACTGTCGGGGTTCAACGCCTCTTCACCGGACCCCCGATGCGCACGGCTTGGCTACGTGCTGCCGCATCACCTCTACATAACAAAAGGCTCAGTCCCTTTTGCACGCACCTTTACATCATCCGCACCTAGTTTACACAACAAAGGCTCATTCCTAGCAGCGTGCTTCAGCCGCACCGAACCTCACAATAAAAATAATATTCAGGGACTACCTTGGCTCCTCCCACCCTCAACCAGTATATATACAAATACGGTTTTCTTGGAATTTCTCTCACTTGATACAGCAATCGTGCTGTGACTGTTCCACCTGAAGACGGAAGCTTGTGTTGCCCCCGAAACGTCGTGATTTTTATTTTATTTTTATTTTATTAATTTTAATTTTTTACCTACGTCACTTTACCGAAAAAACCTAAGAATATGAATCCTTGCAGTCACGAAAGCTTCAAATCTAGAATTAATGTGCTAAACAAGTTCAACGTGGGCCTGCGCGTACGTCCGACGGCCTCGGGCACAAGCGCACGCACCCGGCGCTCACCCGCGTGTGCGAACAGCCCTCCGCTGTCGCGGTCTTTGGGGAACGGAAGAGAGACCGGCCGCGCAATGGAAGACGTTGGGTCTGAGAAAACAAGCGCGCACACACACACACACATGCACAAAGATAAAGATAAAGATCCCCCGTGTAGCCTTAACAGACGGTTGGCGCAAGTGCTGTTATGGAGCACCTATGAAGGCTGGAACGGCACACGAGGGGGTTGGGTGGCCAGCACCACACCCAGCCGCCTTTGTCTCCCCAGTGGCGATGTTTACACACCGCACCAGGTACTTATTCGAGGTCGAGTCGACCTAGGGGAGGTCCAGGACCGGTTTCAGATATTCATCACTCTCGATCCGGCCAAACAAAAGCTGTTTAGGCATGCGGTGGCTGGGCATGCGAGCTACATGACCCAGCCAACGCAGCCTTGCCTGCCGGAGGAGCTCACCGATGGGACTTTGCCCAGATCTTTCAAGGATTTGTGAGCTCCTCACACAATCCAGCCTGCTGGTTAAACCCAGGATGGATCGTAGGGCAGGCCAGCCTCAATGTTTCTAACTGGCGAAGATGTTCCATTAGGGGGGTCCACGTTTCGCAAGCGACACACACAGACACACACACACAGACACACACACACAGACACACAAAGATCAAGACAAAGATCCGCCATATAGCCTTAACAGACTGTAGGGGCAAGTGCTGTTAGCGAGCACCTATGAAGGCCGGAACGGCACACGAGGGGGTGGGTGGCCAGCACCACGCCCGACCGCCTTTGTCTCCCTAGTGGCACAATGTTTACACACTGCACCAGGTACTCATTTGAGGCTGAGTCGACCGAGGGGAGGCCCGGGATCGGTTCAGATAATCGTCACCGGTGTTGGCCGTGAGTGGTATTCGAACCCGTGTCGCCGGGTTCATAGCGCAACGCGCTAACCGCTACACTACCGCTCCCCACTTCACACACACAGACACACACACACAAACACAGATACACACACACAGACACGCACACACACAGACACACACACACAGACACACACACACACAGACACACACAGACACACACACACAGACACACACAGACACACACACAGACACACAAACACAGACACACACAAACACAGACACACACACACACAGACACACAGACACACGGACACAGACAAACACACACAGACACACACAGACACACACAGACACACACACAGACACACACACACAGACACACACACAGACACACACACACAGACACACACACAGACACACAGACACACACACACAGACACACACACACACACTGACACACACACACAGATACACACACACAAGATATACACACAGACACACACACACAGACACACACACAAAGACACACACACAGACACACACACACAGACACACACACAGACACACACACACACAGACACACACACACACACACAGACACACACACACACAGACACATGGACACAGACACACACACACACAGAAACACACACACAGACACACACACACACAGACAAACACACAGACACACACATACACACACAGACACAGACACACACAGACACAGACGCACACACAGATACACACACACACACCGCATGCCTCGTGCGGTTCGAGTCTTGGAGCTGCAGTGCACCAATGATGACGCCGCTGAGATGTCCTCATGTCCGATGCGGCCGTTGTTGACAAGTTGACAATTGCCCCCAACAACAACAACAAAACAACAACAACAAAACAACAACAACAACCGCAGGCCGCTCGCTGCTCACCCGCGGACGAGCTGATGACTTGCACAACGGACGATGGGAAATATCCGACACGAGAGGCGCCCAGCCGGTCCCTCACGTAGCCCTTCCATAGGCCGCTCTCCTGCCGCTCCAACACCTACAGCAGCAGCAGAAACAACAACAACAGTCACCACTCACGTAGCCCTTCCATAGGCCGCTCCAACACCTGCAGTAGCAACAGCACATTCAGAATGAACATCAGCACGCGTTTAGAGTGATCTGGCTCCTGCTATGCATTTCCACGTGATGATGATGATGAAGCCACCTTGCTGAGCTGCTTTCATCTTTGATAGTCTTTTGTCAACGTGACACTTTTTTTACTGATTGGCCGTGTCGGATGGTGGAGGGTTATGACACATTTATAAATAACGCGATCTAACCCAAACACCTTCATTATGAACAACTACCCCTCTATTTAAGGAACGAAATAGGAGGATTTCTCAAAAAATCTGGCTGTGGCCTGATGAAGCTGGTTGTAATTACTGGCAAAACGTCGTGCTCAGATTGTAAATGTTGTGGCTTTGCTCTCCAACACACCGGTGTGCTGTACTGGTGTAATGACGACTTGATACACTGTTTTATTGTAGAAACACGTTCACGTGAACAGGCCGAGACCCCTACTACGACAGCCCCGAGTCTCCCGCGCATCTCCCCCTTACATACGGACCGAGGCCACGCCCCCATTCCTGAACCTTCTCGCTGGTTCTAGACCGCTCGCTCCACCAGCAGACTCCACCGTCCGCTTCCGTCACCTGGCCACACTCCTATTCTCGATCATTCCCGTAGCCACCAGTCTCTTCATATTGCAGGCTGACTCCCCTGTCATTACCTCCCGTGGCCACCAGTCCCTTCGTACTGCAGGCTGACTCCCCTGTCATTACCTCCCGTGGCCACTAGTCCATTCGTACTGCAAGCTGACTCCTCCTGTCATTACCCCCCGTGGCCACTAGTCAACTCACACTGTAGTCTGACTCCCCTGTCATTACCTCCCGTGGCCACTAGTCCATTCGCACTGCAGGTTGACTCCCCTGTCATTACCTCCCGTGGCCACCAGTCTATTCACACTGCAGGCTGACTCCCCTGTCATTACCTCCCGTGGCCACTAGTCCATTCGTACTGCAGGCTGACTCCCCTGTCATTACCTCCTGTGGCCACTAGTCCATTCGCATTGCAGGCTGACTCCCCTGTCATTAC